GCAACACCCCCCCCTTTCTGTCTGCCTTTCCCCCACTGTTCCACGGTGGCCTGCCTCTGCTTTAGGGAGACAGGGGTTTTGGAGTGAGAGAGGGACTTCCCTTCAGGTACGTTCCCATTGGTGCCAGGCTGAGAAGCAAGGGCAAGGGGGTGGTGCCTGCGGAGATGCATCAGCATCCCTGTGGTGCTCATGTGTTTTGTTCCCTTGCCCCGGCTGGTTTTGGCTCGGCAGTGCAGGCAGATAGCATACGTGGGATCATCTGCCAGCTCAAAATGATCCCAGACCACACTACCCACTCGCTTTTGAGGCATGGGTGCATGTGCGGATGCTCCACTTCCCCCCTCCTCAGCAGGTAGAGGCCCAGCAACAGGAGGAGCAGACTCAGCTGTGCTGCCTGCCTCCGCAACCTCTACCTCAGCCTCCTCCAAAGTGCCTTCTGGGGAAGGAGACCTGGCTTTAGGGGAAACTTGAGGGGTGTGGAGCACAAACTCAGCTGATTCTCCCTCCTTCCCCAATATTTCCTTTGCTAGGGCACTCAGATCCACATCTAGCTCCAGCTCTTCCTCTGGCACTGGAAGGCTCAGCATGGGAAGTGAAATGGGAGTAGAAGAGACTGTCATGCTGGTGCTGCTAGTTGTGGTGGTGGTGGGGGTTATGGGTGGTGCCCTTGGAGGGGATGCAGTCTCAAGCACAGGCAGTGACACTGACACTACTCCTCTCTCCTTGCTGCTTCTAGAAGCTTCATCCCTGCTAGTTGTAGGAAAGATGCTGCGTCTCAGTTTGGGTGGCGGGGAACTTACCCCTCTCCCTCTACCCCCTCTTCTGCCCCTCCCTGAAGGCTTGCCAGCTGCCTTTCCACCACGCTTCATGGTGTGTTTCATAGTGTCTTGTTGTTATACAAATATATAAATGTATCTCCCTTCCTATATAAATTCTATAGTGTAATATCTAATATAATTACAAAATTGAAAATAATCAATTAATGAACATAATCATAAAATAAAAGGGTCTGGAAGAAAGCAAACAGTATTGTGGAATCCCACTAGCTAGGCTAGCAAGTAGGAAATCATTTAAATCAATGCAAATAGTAGCCTTTGCTGTCTAATGCTCCGGAGCTGCTGGAAGACACAGCTCAGTAACTGTCAGACTCCAAGGCAGAAAGCAGGCCAGTTCAAACAATGCTGCCTTTTATGCTGTTTTTCCATCCCTCCCCCAGAGCACTGGGATTGGAAGGGACCTCAGAAGGATCACAATCACTGGCAAGCTACATAGTCAATGAGAGCAGTCCTTCCCCCTCCCTCTCCTTACTTTGTTTCCCTGCAGGCAAGCCCAGCTTGAGCTTTGAAATTTTGTTTGGAGGTTATTTTGAAGCCCTTTGTTTCATTTCAATTTTGCTGTTTTGAGCTTGAAACAAGTAGAAACGAAACAGCTGGTGAAATTTCGCACAGCTCTATTATCTAACCTAGTGTTTCTAATACTTTTGGTCAAGACAAAACTAATTGATGGATTTTAAAAAAATTAAAATAACTGTGGTTTCAATTAGGCAGAATGTTACATGAAGGCAAAGACCCCCTACAAGCTTTTGAGTGAAAGTTGTGGGTGTCATGCATTCAAAATTTCTTATGGGAGGTGGCTACAGTGAAACGCATAAAGGAGGCATCTACAACTTATAACACATTCAGATATAGCTGTTTTTTTAAAGGCTGGTAAAAATCACTCCAAATTCACACGTTTCAGTTCACATAGCAACAGTTCAGTTCTGGTAATGAGAAGGTGTAAGGGTTCAGCTTTGACCAAATTTGCCAACACATTGGGTTAGGTAACGAATGAAGGCTTAAGAAGACTTCATGCTTGAATTAGCCCAGTTTCTGAGACTATTATATAATCTAGATTTACTACCTCCTCACAAGTAGTCTCAAAACACAGTGACATGATTTAACAGCTATGGATTTACATGATACAATTATAATATGGTATGAACATGCGACTATGTTGGATAGTAATATGGGGAGTACAAGTTTTACATTTATCAGGGAAAGGTGTATAGCTAGAAATGGAAGAGAAAATATCACAGCTCAC